CATATGCAGTTGGAGGAGTGTTAGTTTTCACGGAGGCTGGCACAGATTGACAGCAGTCACATTGCTCCAGAGCTGAAAAGGAGATCCCTGCTGCATTATGATCTGCTTTGGCCTCATCTACTCTGCATTTGTCCCCATAAGAGAGCCATGTGTGACAGAGTTCTCTAGTAGTCATGAAACACAGAATTGCTTCAGAACAAGAAGAGTCCATGTAAACCTTTGCAATGGATTATTCAGATACAGACAGTGACTCTACTTTGGGATACAGCGATGATGAAGATTCCAGTGATGAAGTTCAAAGAATATCAGAGTCAGTGCACAGAAAATATTTGCAAATATTTGGAGATATTTTCATGCCGTGTAATTTCATAGAAAAGAATTCTAACTCTTCCAAACATGCTTAAAAGGGGACCACTACTAAACTGCATAGCTTTGACTGTAATTATTCATTAATCAATAGCATGTTTGTGAAACTATTTGTCAGTCTGCCAGGGTAACTGCTTTTGGAGTGGTATTTATTGTAATGTTGAAATAAACTAATGTGAAGGCATACAAGTGGAAAAACATGAGATTTTTAATGTTACACTTAGACTGTTATGGAGTTGTATATACGTTTATTCCTTATAAAGAAATAAGTCTAGTGTGCCAAGCAATCAAAAGCAGGTTGTATTTGGTGAAAGTTTTAAGTAGGTCAAGCATTATCTTATAATTCTAGGTCTAAAATATCCAATGGTCAGTTCTTTTTCAAAATCTCATATGTTTCTATTAGAACCTAATAGAAACCTGATTTGCCAAAATGTACAATCTTGTATTTTCTAAAGTAACACAATTCCACTCTGTCTTTCTTCTCATCATATCTAAATCAGTATTATTGGTAACCCTCCTAATCTTGTAGATGTTCTATAGAAAATCATTTATCATAACAACCATGTAATTTGTAAATGTGTGATAATACCTCTGTGTTACATGAGTATATAATAGTTCATACATAACACTAAACTAATCATTGCTTTTACTAATGTGGTTGGACACACAAAGGAAATAAATATACAAAATAATACTAATAATTACTTTAATCAGTAATGTTATTTTACTCACAATTTCTGTTATCTTCACTAAGATGATAGATTAATGTGTCAATACCAAATGTGGTAGTATTTTGTCTTTCATAGGAACATGATCTCAGAGTGCAAATAGCATTCTGGACACCTACATATTAAGACATAAAGGCATTAAACACCTTCATAGTAGAAATGCGAAAATGTCACAATGATAATATGCATTTGGCACTGAATGACGATAGCATTAAATAATTCATATTGTGATATTACTATAAAACATCATGGCAGGTCAGGACATAGCCATGTGTAGGAATACAAATGTTTTAAGAACTAAAATAGCTCAGCAGACTCATTTTGCAGTTGGAAAGCCATAAAAGTGTTAATGCTGGTTTTATTAACAATTAAATAAAACTTCCGTAGTGATAGACAATGAGTACATCCTACGCAAACAATGTACTTCAATGAACTCAGAATTGTCAAATTAAACTTGAGAGTCCATTTATAAACAGTACACTGTTTTGGAAAGAGCGTGACTCTGAGGACAGCCAAATCTGTGTTTAAATTCCAATGCTGCAACACACTTGCTATGTCTGACTTTTAGTGCATTGCTTAATCTGTAACCCCACATAGAAATTTGAGACAAAATAACCACCATTTTTATGCTATGCAACAATTGAGATTTGCATGAAGTACTCACTATAGTTCCTAATAGATACTAGATGCTCAATAGGTGGCAAATATAGACTCTTTGTTTAAAATTTAATTGTTTAATATGTTGTTCTCCCAATGTTATGCTGGTTTTTAAAAAAAATTTAACAGACCTCTCTTTCCTAGCTATTCTAATTCTAGGCTATCTTTAAAAATTTTCCTTTGTATAATAAAACAGTTTCCATTTCTATTGACTAAGGCATTCTTATGATCTTATGATTTTTATTCTCAGTTACATTTTAAAACATCAGTAACTTCTTTTCATTGCAAAGAAATTACCTTCAATTTTAAAAGTACCTTCAATTTAGACAAGATAATATGATAACTCTTACAGTACTAAAAATCTGATAAGTACATTTTAAAAATCTATATAAATGGAAATATATTCAAAATAAAGCATTATATAATTTAGCATATAATTTATAATTGAAAAGTAGTATAAGCTTTAAAGCTTCTGTGGATAATATCTAAATGATCAAAATGGAGATGTAATTAGGAAAGCAAAATTTAATAGATGTTTTCTATGAAGGTATGATGCTGGTTTTGTTGATTTTGCTGTTGTTCTAAGGCTATCAGTAATTTGTAGTAGCATGCTGCCATAAACATTATTCTAATAAATAAGTCATTCACACCATTTCTGAAGGATACAGTGGGCATCGCTGATGTTTGCTGACTACTCTGCTCACTTCATCAGAAGTTCCAACTCAAGAAAGTGCTAATGAACTTGAAATTCTATTATCTGCTTCTATGGAGCAGAAAGAAAATTCACCCTGTTAGTCCTGGATAGGAGTATTTTTTATTAAACACTAGGCAAAGCCTCCATAAGAACCCACATGATAGGTGGTACTGAAAATGAGAAAAATAGAAGTAATAAATGGAACAGGCTTTTTCTTCTGATTGTCTGGTTCTGTGATAGAGTTGTCTATGTTTATCTCATTGACTTCCCTGCACTGAATGGGTTCTCATAACCATTCTCACTTTACTGGTGAGGAAATTGAGACTTTCTTAGCTTTTGAGTAGTAAGGGTGGGTTTACCATCAAGGTAGTATGACTCTGTTGCTTGAGCCCTACTATGCTCCTTAAGGGCTCTGGAATGTGGTGCTTACAAAGCCCTTCAGGAATTTGGAATAAAATGGGGAGCAAAAAGAGGTGTGTCCCTGCCCTTCTATGGTTTAGTGGGAGAGAAAACGTCTCAATAGCTCAATGTTTGATTGACTGTGCAAACCTGGGGCCAGCAGTCTGAGCAACTGTTTAGAGGCTACCAATATGCAACATAGTAACGGCTGTTCTATTACTGAGTTGTTTTATTTCATTTTTCTGTTCTGTTTTATTCCATTTAAAATAAAAATAATGCAGTGATCACCTAAATAAATGCATAAATTATAAATAATGATAGGTGTTTTGAATGTAGAGATCTGAATGGTGGTAAAATGGTATACAGGGCTTATGACATGGGTAATTCATGATGGCATTTCTGAAGAAGGGGACTTGAGTTGACATCTAAAGAGTAAGTGGAGGACAATTAGGCATACAATTGGAGAGGTGCTTCCTAGACCTGGGCATGGCATGTCATGAAGAGCTTACGGCAGGAGGTCATGACAGGCTTGTCCCTGAAATGAGGCCAGTTTGGCAGGTAAGCAGAGAATTCCGATGGAGCCACTGAGAAGATCACACTGGGAGTTGGTGAGATTCTAATAGAAAGTTTAGAGTCAGAAAAAGCTGAGTATCTGAGGTGTATTTGTTTGTGAAAGCTTTGTTTGCTAATGATACAACTAGTGGGAAACAAATGGAAAAGGAATGCCACTCCTAAGATAAATCTGATATGCAACACCCAAGATAATCTTTCATTAAATGTCAGACACCAAGTGAAAATCATCATGGAATTTCATTTAAAGATACATAAAACTAAACCTAAGCAAGTGAAAGGCCTGCTATGTTTTTGTGTGGAAAATTAATGTTATTAGAGAATAGTCCTTCTGAGCTCAATGTATAGATGTAGTACAATTCCACTAGAATCACAAAATAGGTTTCTTTAGAAGTAGAAAACATTATTTTGAAGTGTATAAAATGATCAGTGCTTAAGAATATCATCAAAATGTTCCTAAACTTCTATATTAGAGAGGGGGAACTTGCTTTACTTGAATACTAGTTAATATAAAATGTCTGTAACCTTATTAGCATGATATAGAAATAATGAAAGTCAAAAAGATCATTGTAAAAATACAGAATCCAAAAATGCTTGTCAGCGTTTACTGTGTTTGAAAAACATAAAAATTATTTGGAACATGTTTATTTTCAATATTTGGAAACCTTTTATTAGAAACACATGATTTTAAAAATGATTCTTATTTAAAAATGATTAAAAATGATTAATAGATTTAAAAATGATTAATAGAATATTGTCACATATGAATTTATCTTTGCAATGTATTACAAATATATTTATAATTAATTATATTACCTAACAACTTGCATTACTATAGAAAAAGAATAAATTTTCACAAATTATTTAATGTTGTGGAAATTATTCTATTAAAATTTTAGTAACTGGAAAATCAATTGTGATTGCTAATTTCTCAATTTCACCTTTGATTATTGAAAAAGGAAATGTTATGACAAGTATTTAAAGTCTAAGAGAATGACAAATATACTGCAAGGGAAATTAAATGCTTTTAAAAGATGGTTTTTACATATTTCAATTAGCATGAATAAAATTTTTCATGTATTCCTGAAGAACACATAAGCTCTGATATAGAAGAATAACCATGTACCATAAATTGCTAAAAGTTTAGCTACATAAAAACTGAGTCTCTAAATTAAGAAAGAAATTAAAGCAGAAAAATGTTTTCAATGATATGACAAATTTATATAAACAAGTATATTTTCATATACTTAAAATTTTTCATCCATTCATGTCCATTACAAACTTTATCATTTCCAGTTAATTCAGGAACGCTCAAAGAGCCAAAGATGATGATACTTTTTTTTCATTTTTGTAAGTGAAATTTTAAATTTGAAAATTTTTACAACTAGATTATCGCTTTGCATGATTACTGACGAGGTGATGTAGTTCCTCAAGATAAAGAAATTTGTATCATGAATAAAGCTGAAACCTAGAATAGTATAAATCAGAAGAATTTATGTAATTTAATAGGATTCCTGAATTGATTGCAATAGATACTTTCTCTTGATATCAATAGCTTTATCCTAATATCTCTATTTTTCATCTAGGGAAGACGTGAGAACAGCAAATGTAATTGCTGCAGAAGCTGTGACCTGCCTTGTGATTGACAGAGAGTGAGTACACTTCATTATGCCTATTGTACAATCGTAACAGATACACACACACACACACACACACACACACACACACACACACACATATATATATACATATATATATATATGTATATATATATATATATATGTTTGTGGAATTAGACATCAATTTACAGAGCTATTAAAACTTGTTTCATATCTTTTCATTTTAAAATGAGTTCTATATTTGATTTTCATCACATATTATAGCTGGAGGTGGTTGACTCTGCCGGTCTAGCTTTGTGATATTTAATAAGGTCCTTAACCACCATGAGATTCAGCTCAGTTATGAGATCTGTGAAGCAGGATAATGCAATATCACAGGGGTGTTTTGAAGGTTAATGGGAACATGTGATTAAAGCATTACAAATATGAGTGACTTTTACTCAGGTGTTTAGCTAGTTGTAGCTATTTTGGTAATTTTTAGAATTATTATTACTATTATTGAGCATGTTTTAGTTCTTTTCTCTGTTCCTCTGTCCTGAGATTCCTATAACAGGAGCATTTAGGAGAGACATTTCTGTGGAAGGCATCAGTTTCAGACATGGGCTTATATTTGGAGGAATTAAAACTTTTTTTTCATGAGCCCTGTTTCTTTATTCCATTCTGAGTTGCTGTTTTCTCTATTTGGATGCCTTGCCGGTTAAACAAACATTAAGATTACTGACTCCAAAAACACTGTTAAAAACGTATATAGACTATGAAAACAGGGGTTTTCTCATTGCAGTGTGTTGTAGTCAGGGGTTGTGCAGAGAACAATTAGAATCAGGGCATGGAATTTATAATATTATTTTTATAATGGCCACCCTGAGTTAACACAAGAAAATGCAGGAAATCTATCCACAACACTAGAGACATAAAATATTTAGTCAAGGGCCTGAATCTCACAGCAATGTCTCACATGAGTCCAGATGAAGACCCAGAGCTCATGACAATGCCTCCCATGAGTCCAAGTTGAGATCTAAAAGCCCAAAAGGACTCATGCCAGTCTCCTTTACAGATCTGTGCTGGGAAGGCCCAAAGGTCAGCAGTGGAAGCCAGGAAATCTATGCCAGCAGGGTAAAGGAGCTGTGCTGGTAGGTTGAGGGTTCTACAACTGGAGCCGAGAAGTCACGTTTACAATAAAGACCAGGGCTGCCCTGAAAAGCACCACAGCCATCCTCAGAAACATGGAGGCCCCAAACTCCTCCAGTGACAGGCACAGTTTGGTACATGCCAGGAATCCAGAGTAAGGAGTTCATCCTGAAGACCTAGTGGCACACATCTTCCTCTGTGGAGCCAGGAAACAATGCTTGATGTGAAGACCAGGGATTCTCCAAGAGAACCAATGGCTCAAACAGCAACTTGTAGGATGCCTCAATGTCTCAATGCAATAGCTTCTCCTTCTCCACATCTCTATTTATGCTGGCAACTTTCCTCATGTGGGACATATATGCTCAGCACCATGCTGATGTAATCCAGCTGATGTTAAGTTGCCCACCAGTATTTAATCCATAACACACTATATATGGAGAAATTTATCAGAAAAAATCAAATGACTGATTCAAAGAAAACGAACGGAAATGTAGTGGGTCCATCATAGCTGCAATAAACATCGAACATCAGTGTGGCATAAAACTGAGGGACAAGATCGGTTAAGCTCAGGATCACGGATTGAGATGATGATCTCAGGGTCTCCAAGTGAAGGATTTCACTTGATTTACAAGCTTTAGTTTTGAGGTCCATCTCTGCTGAAACGCTAGAGCCAGAACAGCGACACAGCTGACAAATGATGGAAACATCTTTAATATCTCTGAAATGGTTATTTTTTCTTATCTAATTCCCAGTATCAACAAATATCCATTCATATTTTGTTCCATTTAACTCATTTTACAGAAGTTTTACATATGTAAGGCATTATACTAGGAGAAGAATCACAAATGCAGCATAGATGCTTGTTTTGGGAGTTAGTGTCCACTAGGAATGTGGCATATACAAAATATTCCAGGATATAGGTTTAAGCAAATACAAAGAAGGAGTGCTGAGGAAAATCAGAAAATCAGAAGTATTATTAAATGGATCTGAAAGTATAGGAATGCCAGCACAAACACTATCGATGCCATAAGCCATACTCATAAAGAAATAAAAAGCAATTGTAACTTGTTAGAGTGAGACTTCGTAACAGTAGTTGGGAAACAAATTCACAAGCATGTTGGGTTGGCTCATTGAGTGCACAAAATGTTGGAATAAGGGCAACTCTGATAGTTTTATGTGGCAAAATAGTGTCACTATTATAATGAGTTAGGTAGACTAATCTCAGAATGTTGTATAAAATAGGTAAGAAGAAGATGAAGACAAAATATCTGGATAGGACTCTAATCCAGTTGATGAGTTATTGGGAAAATATGAGTAGGTAAAACCAGAAGATTTAAGATCTGACTGAAAGCAAATAGCACAGAGAAATCAGGGATACAGCTGAGGTACAGAAAACAAAAGTAGTATAACGGAAGAACTAGTTTGGGAGGCACAGTGATACTCCATCAAGAATATAATGAACTTGAAATACATTGTTAAATATTTGTGCAAGAGATAGGAAATGTAGGATAAAAACTCTTCTTAGAGTTAATTTAAAATTAATTTAAAAGTTACCTAATCATTGAAGCCATTAGATGTGATGGAACTACTTGAAAGAATAGAGAAGAATATAAAAGAATTAAGAACAGACTTTGGGTAATGCACTTAAGAGCCAGGCAGAGAAAGAACAACCACAGAGAGAGAGAGACAGAGACAGAGACAGAGAGAGAGAGAGAGAGAGAGAGAGAGAGAGAGAGAGAGATTGGCAATCCTCTGAAATCAAGAAATATTTCAAAAGGATAGAGAATTAAATGTCTACATTAAAGAAACAGAAAAATAAATTCACATTTATGAAACTTTCATTAAAATGTAGAGTTTATGTTGCGTACATAGTACAAGCTGGCTACTTGGAAATCAGATGTGGTACTAATGTACACTTAGACAAGAATGAGAAATTCCAGTATATTAGCACATACTAGGATGACCATAGATAACTGTGTACTGTACATTTACTTCAAAAGCTAGAGGAAAGGATTGTGTCTGTTTTGACCATAAAGAAAAGGTGAACATTTGGAAAGATAGACATGCCTAACCTGATTTAAACATTAAAAAGTTTATACATGTATTGAAACATCACCTTGCTCCATTAACATGCACAAGCTTTATTTATCAGTTCAAAGATAAATTTAAAATAAAAATAAAAGGTGACAAGTATTGGAGGGTATAAAGAGAAAAGAGAACTCTAACACAGTGTTGCTAGGAGTGCAAATTAGTGTGGCCATTATGGAAAATAGGATGCAGGTTCCTTAAAATAACTACAAAGAGAATTACCATATAATCCAGTAGTTCCACTACTGGATACATATCTAAAGAAACTGAACCAACATATCAAATTGGTAGTTGTTCTATGTTCATTGCAGCATTATTCATAATGGACCATATGTAAAAGCAACCTAGTGTCTATCTAGGGATAAATGATGTGTACATATGTAATTGAATGGTATTCTGCCCTACAAATGGGTAAAATTGTGTCATTTGCAAGAACATGATTGGATCTGATGTTAGGCTAAATAAAATATGCGAACGACAGAAAGACTGCCACGTGAGCTTAGTTAAATATGGAATCAAAGTGGAACTCTCAGAGAATAGAATACTGATTAATGGAGAACGTGCATGAGGGGAGTTGGAGATGGGGGTGATTCGGAAGTAGTTAATAAAGGATACAAAGTTTCAGACACTCAGAGGAGCAGGTGTTCAGATCTGGTATCTGGTGCAGCCGGGTGACATGGTCAATAATAATGTTTTACATAAAAAAACAGTAAATTTCAAAGTCATAAAAATAATAGGTTAGTGAGGTGATTGGTGTCTTTGATTTAGTCATGCTGCATTATAGATTCATTAAAACATATCCTACTCAGGAAATACATACAATTAAGATGTTAATCAAATATTTAAAGTAAATGCAAAAATAAATAAAAGAAGAAAAGTGAAACAAAAGGGATGCCGTATCACACTCTTAGAGAGTTTCTTTGTGATGCGAATGGACAAGTATCCACAGACATGGAGCAAATGGAACAGATGTCCCCCTAAAGCCTCATGCATACAAGCTGAGCTTCCGGAAGGTTATTGGGTGATGTGGCTTGTAGTTCACCTCTTGTAAGGAGATGGAACCTAGTTTAAAGGTGTGGGTCGCTGGGGGCATGGCTCTTATCTGTCTCTTTCCTGCCTCTTGGTAGTTCCCTGCTTCTTAACTCCCATGCCATAAACAGTGCTTCTCTCCCTTGTCCCTCTGCCGTGTTGCTCTGCCTTGGAGCTGGCCTACCGTGGACTGAAACCTGTATGAACTGTGATACAAAGTCAGCCTTTCCTCCTGTAATTTCTGGGTGTTAGCTATGGTGTCCCAGCATGAGAAAACTAACCAATACAGGGAATGTTGACGGAAATATAATCACCAGGTAGGAAATTGAGGGCAAGTGTGTGACAGTTACTTAGAAGACCTGTGTGATTTTTAGAGAATTTTTTCTTAAAATAGCAACAAAAAAGTCAAAAAGTTTGCAGAGAAATGGTGTGATTTAGATAAGGAATGTTCTGGGAACTTGGATAGCTTTAAACTTCCCTTGAAAGCATGAAGCAGAGAAATTTGGTGGGACAGGACTGGGTGCAGCATGGGGAGGGGAGCCAGCTTCATAGGGATTGACAGGTGATCACAGCAATTTATATTTCTACAGTCTTTAGTAATTTACAGCTGTCACATCAATGATATTTCACCTGGAAAGTAGATAGACTATATTAAAGAAGAGAAAATTTAAGTCCACTGAGATTTAACAACTCAATATGGTTTACTGGTAAAGGTTACTGTCCAAATTACTTTAATCATAAAGAACAAAACTGAGCGGGACTTTGTGAGTCATTTAGTCTTGTTCCTT